TGTGTGGTTGAAAAAGAAGAAAAAATTATTGGTGTGATGAAAAATATTATTTTATTGAAGAATGTGTGGTTGAAAATGAGAATTGATTTACTGTAGAAAAATCTAATCCCTCCCAAACAGGCCTTAGGTCTTTTCGCGGCTGAAAATTTGTAATTGAGTGGAGGGGTTTTGGAGGGTTTTCTTCGAACAGAGAATTTTGATTGACGGAGTCATTATTACAACCATTGCATGTGTTAATTCTCGTTTGCCAAACCCAAATATTAAGTGACATGTTACAAGGAAAAAAAATTGTTCTCTTGATTGTTTGTTCATCAATGATAAATGAAAATTGTCAATTGGCAGCATTTCTCAACGTGTAAAATCGTGTTCTGTATGAAATATTGATCTTGATTCGTTCTCTCAATACTCGTGTTTTCAACTTGAGAACGCTTCACATATTGGTACAAACTGGAAGAGTAATACCAAATTCTATTTATTTTTCGCTGCTTTGGGTTGTGGGACTGGCTTCCATTATCGTTGTTCAATGAAATTGGAGTTATCGTTGTAATATTCAATGAAACTGAGATGTATTTTTATTTATTGGACAATGAGCTTGCATATAGTGCAATTAATCACCACTTATGATGTAATTCTGCCGGGAATGTTAAAAAATGAAACTATGTTTGCCTTTCCTCATTAGTGGGCCCTTTTTCTTTGTAATTATTATTATTTTAACAAGTTTGATCTTTTAAGTTGAACATAATAACAAAACGTCGTTTCCTTGAATTTAGAGTCACTTATTGGTCACACTTTTAGAGGGTGTTTGGTGGAGACTAAAATTAGATTTTTAGTGAATAATGATATAAGTTTTTGGAATGTGTGGTTGAAAAGATGTGAAATTCATAAAAGATATGGTTAATATTAATTTTTTGACTTTGACTCAGATTAAAATTAGATTTTAATCCAATCCAAACAGGCCCTAATAGTTTTTGGTGCAACACATTGTAACATAAAAAAGGTGACAAAATAAAGTCAAATATCATTGTCCTCAACGAAGATAAATGACATATTAC